TTTCAGAGGTGATCAGTTTATAAAATTCTTCGTATTCTGGCATTCTAGAAATTACAGATATAATTTAATTTCTTTGTATGATGTGATTTGTTATTTCAATGAGAAGTGAGCACGAGCCCCCAAGCCAGATCAGTAAAAAGGAAGAAGTTAGTTTATTCATAAACTGTCTTTATCCCAGATATGCAGCCATATCGTTTGTTGTTTCCCAAGCTGTCTGCTCCCAAAAAAGCACATTCATCTATGATGATCTACCTGGGCTGGGGAGGTCTCCAGTAACTAAACAGTCACTATTTGGGAGATAATAGTTGTTGCAGGCAAGAATTACAAGTGGGTGCTAACATTCGCAGGTTGAAGTATGATGAGAAACAGAGTGTTTCCATAGTCTCAAAGTTTATCCCCCACATGATTCTTACTAGTTACAAGGGAAAAATAGTAGTTTTACTGTGGGAAACCTCATAGATCCAGCCTTGACCAAGTGATCAGAATTAACATGATCAGTAATGGCAATGCACCACATATGCCTCATGGTATCATGCACCAAGGAGGGCGAATGTTACTTCTGTGGTAGGCTTGCGAAAATGCACAATCTAGATTTAGTCAGGAGGAAGTATTAAGTAAACCCAGATTGAGGGACATTCTACAAAATAAATGGCCAGTCCTCTTCAAGTGTCAAGGTCATGAGAGACAAACTGCCCCAGGTTGGAGGAGACATGACAAGTATATGTAACACAAGTATATTTGGTCCTTTCTTGGACCAAAAAAAGGACATTAGTGGAGGTAGCTGGCAAAAATTTGGAGGAGGTTGTCTATAGATTATTTAATAAACTGTGTTGATGGTTAATTTCTTGGTTTTGGTCATTGTGGCTGTGGTGTTATAAGAAACATTTGGTGGTTAACATTTGAGGAAGCTTGGAGAAGGGTGTACAGGATTTTTTTGTACTATTTTTGGAGCTTTTTGTAAGCCTGAAAGTATTTCAGAATGAAGTTAAGCAACAACAACAACAACAAAAATAATTCAACTCAGCTGAGAAATTACAGCTTCAGTGCTTGTACTTTGAGACATTTCTCTAGATTGGTCAGCAGCTGCTTTTGCTTCCTGAATCTCCACAGTGATCTGGATAGTTGAGATTTCTAATTAAGGGATCTTGGGATGAGTGAGACATGGCTGTATTGAATTGCAGCTACACTTTGACAAGGTTTTGTTTAATTAATTTACTTATTTATTTTTGTACAGGGTTGTAATTACATCTTTGGGTGTCCCATGCCTGTGCAGGTTATTTGAGCTTTGCTGTCGTAGCTACCAGAATCCCTAGCGGCAAACTTAGCTCTGTAATTAATTTACTGGTTTGTTTCTGTTTTTATTATGATGTGAATTCAGGTTAGTCCCATGGATTCTTCTGCTATGTGTCATATGGTATTGAATTTCATAGTTGTTGTTTGTCTCTTAGGAAGAGTTGATATTTTTGGTATGAAAACATTTTATTTAAACTTGAAATATCACACAATATATATTTTTCCCCTCAGAAAAGACACTTTGGAGTTTCTATAAATAAAATGAATAGTAAATGTACTCTAGCATAAGCACCAAGTGCTAACCTTTTATTAGGTAATCATTAGAATGAGAGAAATTAATACATTGGGAAATGTTAGCAGGAGCAGTGGTTAATGTGTGATTCATAGATTGTTGAGAGTGTTTTGATCAGTGTGGGCAAGAACGTGGACTTTGGGAGTCAGAAGACCTAGTTTTGAATCCCAGATCCATCCTGCTTATTACAGGTTGAGTATCCCTTATCCAAAATGCTTGGGAAGTGTTTTGGATTTTGATTTTTTTTTTTTGGAATATTTGCATTATACTTAGGTAATGAGCATTTCCTTTGAACATGACCTTTTGAGCATCATGTTGGTGCTCAAAATGTTTCAGATTTTTGGACCATTTCATGTTTTGGATTTTCAGATCAGGGATGTTCAGCCTGTAGTATGTGCTAGACGGGTTGACTTTTCTGAGCCTTATTTCTTGCATCTGTAAAACTGGAATCCTAATAGTATCTTGCAAAGTTATCATGAGAATGGAGTCCTGTAGCATGCAGTGCACCTGGCCTAAAGTGGGGCCTTTCATCCATGTTGAATTCTCTTCTTACCTCCCTCTAGGTTTATAGCAAAGCCACCTGCAATTGATGAAAAACTGCTTTGCTTATAAAGACAATGAAAAGATGATAGCATGTCAGTAACCTCTCTAGCATTTCAGAAGTCTTTTTTTTTTTTAATTTTCAAAAACTTTTTTCTATTAAAAAAAATTTTTTTTAATTTTGATAGCTTTTGGGTACAAGTGGTTTTTGGTAACATGGATGAGTTATACAACAGGGACTTCGGAGATTTTAGTGTACCCCTCACCTAAGTAGTGTACATTGTACCCAATATGTAATCTTTTTATCCTTCACCCCTCCCACTCCCCATCTTCTGAGTCTCCAAAGTTCATTATATCACTCTGTATGCCTCTGCATGCTCATAGCTTAACTCCCACTTATTGGTAAGAACATGCAATATTTGGTTTTTCATTCCTGAGTTACTTCATTTAGAATAGTGGCCTCCAGCTCCATCCAAGGTGCTGCAAAATACAAGAATTCATTCCTTTATACAACTGAGTAGTAGTCTATGGCATATATATACCACATTTTCTTTACCCACTCATTGGTCAGTGGGCACTTAGGTTGGTTCCAGGTCTTTGCAATCTGGAATTGTGTTAGAATAAATGTACGTATGCATGTGTCTTTTTCACATAGTGAGTTACTTTCCTTTGGGTGCATACCCATAGTGGGATTGCTGGATCAAATGATTGATCTACTTTTAGCTCCTTAAGAAATCTCTGCCTGGGTGCCGTGGCTCACACCTGTAATCCCAGCACTTTGGGAGGCTGAGGCAGGCGGATCACTTGAGGTCAGGAGTTCAAGACCAGCCTGGCCAACATGGTGAAACCCCATCTCTACTAAAAATACAAAAAATTAGCTGACGTGGTGGTATGGCCCTGTAATCCCAGCTACTTGGGAGGTTGAGGCTGGAGAATCACTTGAACAAGGTTGCAGTGAGCCAAGAATGCGCCACTGTACTCCAGCCTGGGCCACAAGAGTGAAAACTCTGTCTTTAAAAAAAAAAACAAAAAACCCACAAAAAAACCCTGCATACTATTTTCCATAGAGGTTGTACTAATTTAAATATCTGCCAGTAGTGTATAAGCATTTCAGAAGTCTTTTTGTCAGGAAGTTCTTCCACATCTGTTATTCCAGAGAAATTATTTTGTTTTATGTATTAGCCATGTTGGATATTACTCCAAAATCTCTTAAACAGGTATCACTCATTTGCTAGACTTTCTGTGGTGTTTTAATGTTCTTGTCTGAAATCATTTGATACAAATAAGTATTAAATTTCTTTTAGAAGAAAATCTTAGAAGACAAAGCAACAAAGAGATGGTCGAAGACAATTGGAAACAAACATTTTCATGTACAGTTTCCTTTCAGATTTCAGGCCCTGAAAGTTGAGTTTTGATCCTCTGAGAAGGGCCAATTATTATTGTTCCTATTTTATTCCAGTTTCAAAAGTACTTTCCTTTATTCTTAAAATTGTCTGATTTCAGTATTGCCCTGTTATTATGTAAGTGAACATCATCGTTTTTAGGAAGTTTAGAAAAGCTTGTCTGACCTGCCTTAGTTTGTTGTGTTGTTGTTCTGTTTTGTTTTAGGCTTTTAGCAGCCTGAAGCCGTGGTCTTTAGTTTCTATCTCTAGTGATAAGCGGAAAAGAGGGATGAGGAAGGGGCTTTACTGGCCCAACCGGAAACAGAAACCAGGAACCCATGACTGTTTTCTCTGTTTCGGACACCCGGATAGTTAAAAGAGGCATGTCTGCAACTTACCCTCACATGGTTCAGAAAAAAAAATATGTATATTATATATATATATGTGTGTGTGTGTGTGTGTGTGTGTGTGTGTATGTGTATTTATTCATATAAATCCTGGGGGGGAAAGGGAAGGAGAAGGAGAAAAGCAGTCATGGCAGTGTTAACAATTGCAGGGGAAGGTCTATGGGCGTTCTTTGTACTTTTTACCACTTTTCTGTAAGTTTGAAACTATCTCAGGATTACATTGGTTGTATACATTGAGTTATTTTCCTGTCCCCTGATGAGATGTCAGTAAGTGGCAGTTTCAGTGGGAGGAAGGTGGGAGGTTAGAAGTGCTTATGTGTGCAGAGAGGAATAAGTAGTGAGTAATTCAGTAAGTACAGGTTGAGCATCCCACATAGAAAATCCAAAATGCTCCAGAATTTGGAACTTTTTGAGTACCCATGTGACACTCAAACAGAATGCTCATTGGAGCATTTTGGAGTTTGGATTTTCTGATTTGGGATGCGCAACTGTTAAGCATAATGCAAGTCTTCCCAAATTCAGAAAAAATATGAAACCCAAAACACTTCAGGCATTTTGGATGAGGGATACTCAGCTGGGTTAACTCACTGGCAAGAAATTAGTGGTTCTTTAATTTCGCCTTTTTTCCTTGGCCAGAATAGAATTCATTGTTTTGTAGAAGAGCCTGAACAGATAAGAGAGTATCTGTTGCTTTTTCAAAGCAGAGAAAGCTACTTGGACCTGAAACCAGATGATAAAAAAGTAAAAGATTAAAAAAATATATATTTATAAGGCATACACAAAGATAAAAGCTAAATCTATAAGGCAGAAATATTACGACTGTTGCAATTATCTGTGCTCAGTCCTCCTTCTACCAGAGAGGAGACACAAGTTGTCTATGATTAGCAGCCTATCTTACTAGCTTATAGACATTCATTTATCCTTTAAATTACTATGTGGCTTCAAAGGTAGTATTTTATATTCTTACTGTGAATTTACATAATGTTTATTATTTTACCCTTCAAAAAAAGTCTTCTAAACTAACTTTTGTTTGTTTGTTTTAACTTTTCTTTCATGTCAATGACAACATCTGTTTTGGGAGCTCAGGGGCCAGACGAAGGTAAGAGATTTGGTTTGTTACGTGATGCTTGTAAAGATCTTATGTGCATATTGTTGAACTCTTAGAATTTTTCTTCTCAAAAAGGAAAATATTTTCTGTCATCTTATACAAGTAATGCAAGCTGTCAGCCTACTCACAAATCTGAAGCCATTTATTGGCATGGGAAGGGCTGGAGGTTTATGGAAAAGCTGTATTTGCACTTTGACCACTTCTGGCTGGTCTCCTAGCAGCTACAACACAGATTCCTTTTGTGCCATAGATTGGCTCAAGACTGGTAGTTCCAAACTGTGGTCAAAGCCAACTCATCCTCCCCGCTCCCGAGACAGCTAGGGATGCATTCCCGGCCAACAGAAACCTGCGTGGCCTCAAGCTGCCTCCATAGATTGGCTCAAGACTGGTAGTTCCAAACTGTGGTCAAAACCGACTCATCCTCCCTGCTCCCGAGACAGCTGGGGTTGCATTCCCCGCCAACAGAAGCCTGTGCAGCCGCAGCCGCCTCAAAGGAACATGCTTTCGCCTCTGTCTTTTAGGGAATGTGGAGCCCTGCTTGAAGTGAGCACAAAGACTGTTTCTTATCTGACCATGAAGTTACTTGGAACTTCCAGGAAACTTAGATTTCTATCTCCATTCTTGGGGTTTTGTTTTTCCTTTAGAACCCGTGGCTGAATTGTAATTCAGTTCTCTATTATTATTGCTAAAATGTGTATTATAGACATGGCTGTTTGGGACTCTGACTTTTTAAGATCTTTTATTTATTAAATTTTTTCCCCCTAACCACAGGGACTGAATGACAAACAAAGTCACCCTGTCAGTATAAAACATTATTAAGAAAAAGTTGAATAGGGCGCTGGTTTCTTTATATATGTAAACTTTCTCTCATCTTTTCTACTGAAAATGTGTTGGATTATTTTTGTTTTCTTATTTTTATGTATTTTTTTGAGATGGAGTCTCACTCTGTCACTCAGGCTGGAGTGCAGTGGCGTGATCTCGGCCCACTGCAACCTTTGCCTCCTGGGTTCAAGTGATTCTCCTGCCTCAGCCTTCTGAGTAGCTGGGATTACAGTTGCCCACCACCACACATGGCTGGTTTTTATATTTTTGGTAAAGATGGGGTTTCACCATGTTGGCCAGGCTGGTCTTCAAATCCTGACCTCAAATGATCCACCCGCCTCGGCCTCCCAAAGTGCTGGGATTACAGGCGTGAGTGATCGTGCCCAGCTGTTTTTTTATTTTTATTGGTGCAGAGGCTGGAGGTTGCATTGAAGATATGAAGGAACCATTGCCTGGTTATTTAAAAATTGTTCATATTTTATTTAATTCAGTTGCATGTTTAGAGAAAATGTGTTGACTTAAAACACATGGGAGGTTAAACACCTCAGAGGTCACCTCTGGGGAGAGGTGTACTTGTTGAACAGGGAGACCTTGATTTTTCCTTTATGCTTCTATGTTATTCGAATTTGTTACAGTGTTTACTTGGAAAGAAAAGGCTTGTCCACTTTATGAAATCATTGCCTGGAAGATACCTATAATAATTTATGAAGTTGCTAAGCCTTGAAGAGGATGATTGAGTGCTGGAGTAAATAAAAAGTGTTTATTAGTCCCCAACTTTGTGCCAGGCTTTGGCACTTTCATATTGGGGAATAGAGCTAGGCTAGCCTAGTGGTGCAGAGGAGGGACCTTGGATCCAGACTGTGGGCTGGAATCCCAGCACCCCAACCTGCTAGCTGCAAGGCGCTTACCTTCTTTGTTCCTCAGATTCCTTTGAACAATGTTGAGCACACAGGCTTAGCTCCGGTATGGTTGCTTCAGTGATAGCCTCTCAACTCAAATTGGGAATAAGAAATGTCACTGTTAAATCCCTAAAAGAAAGACAAGTAAAAAAAAAAAAACCCAATAATAATGGAGAGGAGAGTGCCATTTAGAACCTATCTCTGGTAAATATACAGTCGGCCTTCTGTATCTGCAGGTTTCACGTCTGTGGTTCAACCAACCGTGGGTTGAAAATAGTTTTTAAAAAACTACGAAAAATAATACAACAATAAAAGTCAAAATTTAGGGCCAGGCACTGTGGCTCACGCCTGTAATCCTAGCACTTTGGGAGGCCGAGGTGGGCGGATCACAAGGCCAGGAGATAAAGACCATCCCTGCTAAGATATACCTGCAAACTAACATGCACACCATCGTCAGTGAAACGCCATAGATTGGCTCAAGACTGGTAGTTCCAAACTGTGGTCAAAGCCTACTCATCCTCCCCGCTCCCGAGACAGCTAGGGATGCATTCCCGGCCAACAGAAACCTGCGTGGCCTCAAGCTGC